TATTTATGTTTGTGGTTGTAATGTGACAAAATATGGAAAAGTTCAAGGGGTATGAATACTTTTGCAAACCACTGTATACTGCAATGTTTTCTGGTAAAGGGAGACACGCTTGTGCTTTATGTTTTGCTTTTGCTTAATTTTTTTTATTTATTCATTTTTTTTTAGCATATTCATTTTTGAACTTGCGCACCTAAACAATTTGACTAGCACTTTAAAAATTGTGCAGCTAAATTTTGAATTAGCGCTGCCCACCACTGCCAAAAACCTTCAGGAGTAAAAGGTGTATTAGGAGCTAAAGATAATAAAATGTCAGTTTTAGATTTCTCAGAATTTTTGGACTTTTTATTTGATCTTTGGCAGTAAAATGTATGCAAATTTGCTTTGAATTGACAATGGTGGGATTTTTTTCTCTGCCATTAACAAAGTCATTCCTTATTTTGTAAACTGAAAATACTGAAATTCTTTGATTTGGTTGATTATAGCATCCTACTGGTTATGTATAGGGCCCACAGAAACACATTACCTTTAAATATCCAGGTGGAATTTGTTAAGAGAAAAAGTTGTTATGGCCTTAAGGGGACAGATATATTTGTAAAACCCAGATTCAGAGCTAGTTTGAGGGAACGGTGTACTTTAATACAGGGAATAAGACTGTGGAATGATTTGAAGAGTGATGTTAAAAAATGCAAGATCATTGTGTACATTTAAGAAAATGATAAAGGTTCGATTGTTAAAAAATATGAAACAGTATAAAATGCACCTTAACTGTTATTCTAGAGCAGGGGTTCTCAAACCTTTTGGGTCTGGGGACCCCTTACAATGGCGAAAAAATTCCAGGGACCCCCTCATAAAACCCATGCTGTTTTAAAACATAGTTTGTTATCATTTCAACCCCTAAATTCCATGGGAATATGTGAACCATCATATCGACATGAGGATTAAGTCAAATTTGGTCAAAATGACCTAATTACATTTTCAGATTCCTGGCTTTAAAAGCTAAATTTTGATACCTGGATCATCCTGATATCATCAGCTTATCCAGAGATTTGACTTAATTTGTCTTGATGGTTATGATGTTTGGTCTGAATCCTAATTTTATGTAAATTTATTGAGTATTTTTTTATTTTAATATTAAGAATAAACCTCAAATATTCTTTGTATCTTAAGATTTCCCAGTTGGAAAGAAACAAAATCATTGTTAGCTCACAGGGAAAAATTCAAAATCAGGTTTTTTGTTGCTACTGCTCAAAAAATGCTTCAAAAATGTTTTTTAAGATTATATTTTAGACAGTTCATTCAAATGATTCATTGATAAGGCATTAATTCATTATATTTTGACATAATGCAATTCTTGCAAACGTTTAAATCAAAACCCTATACCTATATTTCTCCACATCCCACTTTTGGACTTAATCCTCGTTTCAATGTGATGGCTCACATTTATATTTTTATTTAGTCTATTATGTTTGTTTTATTAGTTCATTGTTCTCCA